CCACACTACTATATATAGAATGGATAAGCTACAAGGACCCACTGCATAGCACAGGAAACGATACTCATATTTCATAATAACCTATAAGGGAAAAGAATATGAAAAATTATGTATACATTCTTTTATACATATTGTACATATACTATATATATTGTATATATAAGATACTATGTAATATATAAAATATTATATATCAGACATGTAATTTTATATATATTATATGTATAATATATATAAAATACATACTACATATAAAATAATATATGTAGAGAAAATTCAGATATATATCTGAATCACTTTTCAGTATACGTGAAAATAACACAACATTGTAAATCAACTATACCTAAATTAAAGAGAAAAAAGAAGTCCTGGCTTCTAGCTTTGGCTCAGTTTCAGCTTGTATTGTGATTTGAGGCAAATCACTTCATTTTTCTAGGCCTCATTGACCTCATCTATAAAATAAGAGGGTTGAATTACATAATTTCTCTGGTTTTATGTGGTGCCAATATTTATGACTCATGAGTCAAGTGAAAATTCATCTGTTAATAATATAAACAGGTGACCTTATTTTTTTTTTTGCTTGTTTTTGTTAGAAAGCATGACAATAACTACGTTCTTGAAATTTACACAATCATAATATAATCTTCCATAAAATCTGTAAACACCTTGGATTTGAAACGTAATTTTGATAAATATGTATCCATGTACCCTGGTGGCCCAGTGGTAAAGAATCTGTCTGTCAGTGCAGGATACACAAGTTTGATCCCAGAGTCGGGAAGATCCCCTGGGAAAGGAAGTGGTAACCCATTCCAGCATTCATGCCTGTGAAACCTATGGACAGAGGAGGCTGGTGGGCTATAGTCCATGGGATTGTGAAAGAGTCGGACACGACTGAGCGACTCAACAACCACCACCCCCCTGTGGTTACTCTGCACTTTAGGGATCCTACCCATTCCAGAGAATTCCAAGGGAGAGATCGCTCAGTCATGTCTGACTCATGGACTGTAGCCTGCCAAGTTCCTCTGTCCATGGGATTTTCCAGGCAAGAATACTGGAGTGGGTTACCATTTCCTTCTCCAGGGGATCTTCCCAATCCAGGGATCGAGCCCCAGTCTCCCACACTGCAGGCAGACTCTTTACCACATGAGCCACTCGGGAAGCCCCTTCTAGAATTCCAAAGAATTAGCCATTTCCTGATGTCCACTTGGCTGTCAGTATCCTTGAACAGCATCCTTCTAAACTGACCTTTTATAGTAGCTGTTTTTACAAGAAAGATAATACTCCAGCAATAATAAAAATACACTAGTTTCTCTCCCCTATATTCAACCAGAGTTTATATTCTAAGTCTTTATCACAGGTGTTCAAATGTCTCACATTTGTCTATTATGTTCACATTTCCTTTCATGCCGCTGATGAGGCTGTACTGGACCCTGTTCTGTGTTCTTGGGGGAAAACAGGGAGCTCGTAGTTCGTGATTAGTGAGCAAAGACAGACAAGCCCAAGGGCTGCCGCTTGAGCTGTGTCTGCTGCCCCCTCACTGTCTCTTCCTATTATATTAACTTGTGCTCTGAAGGATGTTTACCAGAGCCACACTCCTTGGACCCCTGTCATCCGTGTGTCTTTTCTCACCTTCAACATGATCTGGACTGGTGTTTTCATTTGTTAAAAACAACAAGGACATTTACTGGGAAACTTCTGCTGGAATCCTTTCAGGTCATCATAGCTATTTATTCTCTGTCATAAACTATAATTCTCCATTTCCCTTACCCCCACGTCAGGGGAGTCGGTGGTTTATGGTGGACAGTCAGCGGAATTTGAGTGAACAGTGGAAGATTTCAAAGAACTACTGAGAGATTATGTAGCAGGTTGTAGCAGTAAGAACAAAACATAAAACCTTCTTGTTCTCCATCACAGTTTGGCAGTACAAGAAGAAATGGGCTTACCCAATGGCATAACGGATTTAGAGTTTATGCTCATACCTGTGAAAACAGTTCCTCTGAGGAAAGAAAGCAAATCATGGGATTGGATTAATAAGGAATTTCCTTTATATGATTAAAATGGCCCAGGGTCTGTCTAATTGGCCTCAGCCTGGGGTTGGTGTGGAAGTTAAAGATTTTTTCAGACTTCTGTTTAACAGGAACATGAAACGTGGGTGCAGTGCTGTCATAAAGGCATGAATGACCAAGAGAGAGGGAAACCTGAAGCAGAAGACATGTAGAACTGTAAACAAAAAGATTTGGAAAGAGAATGGGAGCAATAGGAATGCCTCCATATATTCAAACATGAAGGAAAATACAAATGCAAGGCAGCAACTGAAAGATATATGATCCTAGGTGTTTGAACTGTAGTGTTGACATTATTGTAAAGTAATTTTTCTAATAGCTAAATGGTGGTAAAATCAAGGATGTTGTTGAAATATTCCAGGCTTTGATTGTTGCTGTTGTTGTTTAGTCACTCACTCCCAGAAATCATGATAATCAAATTGGTTTCATTCTCAAGATGCCACTGATCTGACCTTCTTTCTTTTTTTATTTTTTTCATTTATTTTTATTAATTGGAGACTAATTACTTTACAATATTGTAGTGGTTTTTGCCATACATTGAGATGAATCAGCCATGGATTTACATGTGTTCCCCATCCCTATCCCACCTCCCGCTTCCCTCCCCATCCCATCCCTCTGGGTCTTCCCAGTGCACCAGCCCTGAGCACTTGTCTCATGCATCCAACTGGGCTGGTGATCTGTTTCACCCTTGATAGTCTACTTGTTTCAGTGCTGTCCTCTCTGAACATCCCACCCTTGCCTTCTCCCACAGAGTCCAAAAGTCTGTTCTGTACATCTGTGTCTCTTTTTCTGTTTTGCATATAGGGTTATCGTTACCATCTTTTTAAATTCCATATATATGCATTAGTATACTGTATTGGTCTTTATCTTTCTGGCTTGCTTCATTCTGTATAATGGGCTCCCTGACCTTCTTTCTTATTGAGAGTGTCACAGAAGTGCCTTCGAAGCAGGGCTCCTGGTTGAGGCACCACAATGGAAAGAACCAGGGAGGTGGTCAATTCTGAAGACACCCATAAAGATGAAAGAATGAATGTCAGCAGCTTCTTAGACACTGAATGGGGGAATGGGGTTGAGATCATATGGTTTTTTTCCTACAGAAACAGTTTCCTCAAGACAGGGAAAGTTTCACATTTTCCCTGGACTCAAATTCAGCAAGCACTTACTGTATATGGGTGCTTTACCTCTCAGGAGGGAACAAGCAGTCTCTGTTCTGAGCTCCAAGGGCATCACTGGTGAAGCAGCACTCGTGAAGAAGGTGGTCTCTCATCAGAAGTCTTGGAGGCCTCAGGTAGGCACTGAGAGATCTGTGCTGGGAGTTCCTAGATTTAAGCTGCACTTTGAATCCCCACCCAACTCTGGAACATGCCCCCAGTCTACAGTAATAATACTGTAGCTCAGGTGTGGATCATTCTTCGTGGGACATCCAGGAGTCACTCTAGTAGTTTTCATGAGTGTTTTGTGTGTTCATAGTTACAGAGGGTCAGGAGACTTCTGCTGTTTTTGTTCAGTGGCTCAGTCATGTCTGAGTCTTTGTGACCCTGTGGACTCTAGCCCTCCAGGCTCCTCTGTCCATGGAATTTCCCAGGCAGGAATACTGGAATGGGTTGCCATTTCCTTCTCCAGGAGGTCTTCCCAACCCAGGGATCAAACCCATGTCTCCTATATTGGCAGGTGGGTTCTTTATCACTGTGCCACCTGGGAAGCCCTCAGGAGAATTTACATGTTGAAAAAAAGCAACTTGAGAGCTACTTCCATTGAATGTGGAACAAGTGGCCATGCTCTCTTTCCCTCCATCCTCACTCTCACTCCTCGTGTTTTCCTTTGAGATGAGTGGGGAAAGCGATTGGAAGGGTGAGTCTGGTTCATCAGGCCGAGCATGTGACTTGGGCCTGAGCAACTCAAGCTGCAAACCTCTGAGTACTGCAGGGCTCTGCGGTGCCTTGGGTGTGAGCGTGAGGGCTAAGACAGCGATGCTAGCACAGCTGGTATCCCACTCAGTTCCACATGTCCATCATTCCTGCTGGACCGAGGGAGAGCAGCCAGACACAGCACCCGACTCCCTTACAGCCCTGGGCAGGCTGGACGACCAGCTGGCCACAGTGCCTTTGGGGGAACTCTGAAAAAATCAAGGAGGAATCTTGATGGCTAAAAACTTGAGGGCATGATTATCCAAGGGTTCCTAAGACCTCAAAGCCCTAGAGCTCAAATTTGGGGTGAAACTGGTTCAGAGGTCTTTCAGGACTGTTCTTGAGTTCTTAGTGAATTCCAGGTCAGCGTCAGCTGGGGTGGGGAGGTGTTGTAGCACTAGCCCTGATCTAAACTGATGCCCTTGACGCCTAACTCAGCAACAGCATGGAACCGTGAACACACACAGTGAGGAACTGTTTGTTTTTTCCAGGAAGATGCATGGGAAAAACAGAAATCATTCTAATCTGTTTGAATATAGCTTTTCCTCTATAACTGCATTTGTGTTGATGCGAGTTTGTTGAGGTGACATAACCAGGGAATTGTTCAGCTCCTCGGTTATGAAACTGTGTGAATGAACATAGTATTACCTAAGACAAATGAGGTCCAAAGCAATCTCTTCTCCTTTCCCCATCTCTGGAGATGTCCAGAGAATATAGAAAGGAGTAAAATATTTCTTTAGCCCTCTTTGACAAAACAGGCTTCAAGGAGCATATGAAAAGATCTCTCTGAGAGTTAAGGTCTGGTTGAAGATTTAGAAGCAACAAACATCAAAACTACTGTGGGTTCTTGGTATATGAACTTGATGGCATTAAAACCTGTATTTGCACCCGGAAAGTGGCATTTGGTCCTAGCACTTTGATGAGCATGGGAGCCAAGGAAACAGTTTCACTGTAGATATACAGTGAAGAAGTATAAACCAGACCTCTGACGTGACTTTAGCTCCTTTATCATCAATTTCTTGTATTCCAGATGATCAACTGAACTCAGAGGAAAAGAAGAAAAGAAAGCAGCGGAGGAACAGGACAACCTTCAACAGCAGTCAGCTGCAGGCTTTGGAGCGTGTCTTTGAGCGGACACACTACCCAGATGCTTTTGTGCGAGAAGACCTTGCCCGCCGGGTGAACCTCACTGAGGCCAGAGTGCAGGTAACCAGAGTACTCCCCGCCTCAAAGGCACGTCTCTGAAGACTGTTGAAAAACACCACTTGTAGGTTTCAGACCAGAGCTGATAGTAAGGATTATAAATGGGCAGCATGAGGACAGAATCAGTTTCTGATTGTGTTTCTTTTGGCAGAAGCATATTTTTAAAAATCAAAGTGAAGGCCTTTCGGTAGGGCAGAATATGCCTTGCTAGCAGTCTCACGCTTCTCACTGTTTCCCACCCTTCCAGATTCATGTTATAAACATTGTCCATCAGAGGATTTGACTCTGCACCTTCCCCACCACCTTGCCCCAGCTTTCAACTTGAGCAGTCGGGTGGTCAAAGAGATGAACTCTCTGTCCCCCCACCTCAGGTTTCCTCCTCAGACTTTGGGAATGTCCAAATCTTCAAGAAACATGTTTATAGTGATGGACATGGATGGCAGTGGGGAATGAACACATCAAAGACGTTGAACTTAGAAACTGCATTAAGAGCACATTTAAGTAGGTGATTTTGTGTTTCTGTGAAGTGAAGAAGGGTAAGTGCATGTAAAACAAGGTGAAAAGAGAATAGTAATTCTTTCAAATATTAATGCCATGACTCATCAACTACAAGCCAGACATCTAGAAGTAATACAATCTGTGATTAGGAATAATAATGATGATAATAATAACTAATACGAGCTGAGCCCTTGTATGCTAACCAGTGTCCTTAGTTACATAACTGATCTGTCTAATCCTCACCCCAATTCAGTGAGGTGGATAATATTATTCATCTGACAGATATGGAAACTGAGACTCAGAGATTAAAGGATTGTGTATAATGTGACACAGCTAGGAAGGGGCTGAACTAGAATTTGAAGACACATATGCAGATCTAGAGTTCATGTTTTTAAGCATTACAGTAGGTTTTAAATAAATACATAAACAAGTCCTCTGGCTACATGCTTTTTCAAGCAGTGCTTTGCTATCTCTGCTCAGAGTCCAGATTTGATTATCTTCCTTATTGCTGGAGGTAGGCTTGTCTTCCCTAATAAGTTATTGTTTGTAAATCTGTGTTCAGTCTGAGATTGAAGAATTTCTTTTTTTTCTTTCATTTATTTTTATTAGTTGGAGGCTAATTACTTTACAATATTGTAGTGGTTTTTGTCATACCTTGACATGAATCAGCCATGGATTTACATGTATTCCCCATCCCGATCCCCCCTCCCATCTCCCTCTCTACCCGATTCCTCTGGTTCTTCCTAGTGCACCAGGCCCGAGCACTTGTCTCATGTACCCAACCTGGGCTGGTGATCTGTTTCACCCTAGATAATATACATGTTTCAATGCTGTTCTCTTGAAACATCCCACCCTCGCCTTCTCCCAGAGTCCACAAGTCTGTTCTATACATCTGAGTCTCTTTTTCTGTTTTGCATATAGGGTTATCGTTACCATCTTTCTAAATTCCATATATATGTGTTAGTATACTGTAATGGTCTTTATCTTTCTGGCTTACTTCGCTCTGTATAATGGGCTCCAGTTTCATCCATCTCATTAGAACTGATTCAAATGAATTCTTTTTAATGGCTGAGTAATATTCCATGGTGTATATGTACCACAGCTTCCTCATCCATTCGTCTGCTGATGGGCATCTAGGTTGCTTCCATGTCCTGGCTATTATAAACAGTGCTGCGATGAACATTGGGGTGCACGTGTCTCTTTCAGATCTGGTTTCCTTGGTGTGTATGCCCAGAAGTGGGATTGCTGGGTCATATGGCAGTTCTATTTCCAGCTTTTTAAGAAATCTCCACACTGTTTTCCATAGTGGCTGTACTAATTTGCATTCCCACCAACAGTGTAAGAGGGTTCCCTTTTCTCCACACCCTCTCCAGCATTTATTGCTTGTAGACTTTTGGATAGCAGCCATCCTGACTGGCGTGTAATGGTACCTCATTGTGGTTTTGATTTGCATTTCTCTGATAATGAGTGATGTTGAGCATCTTTTCATGTGTTTGTTAGCCATCTGTATGTCTTCTTTGGAGAAATGTCTGTTTAGTTCTTTGGCTCATTTTTTGATTGGGTCATTTATTTTTCTGGAAAGACAGCCCTCAGATTGGGAGAAAATAATAGCAAACGAAGCAACAGACAAAGGATTAATCTCCAAAATATACAAGCAACTCCTGCAGCTCAACTCCAGAAGAATTTCTTTTTGAAAAATACTTCTTTAAAGATTTATTTACTTTCAGTTCTACTGGGTCTTCATTGTTGCCCAGGCTTTTCTCTAGTTGCAGAGAGTGGGGCCTACTCTTCATAGCAGTGCATGGGTTTTTCACTGCGCTGGCTTTTCTTTTGGGGAACGTGGGCTCCAGAGCACAGACTCAATAGCTGTGGTGCACGGGCTCAGTTGCTCTGCAGCATGTAGGATCTTCCTGGACCACAGATCAAACCCGTGTCTCCTGCTTTGGTAGGTGGAATCTTCATCCCTGAGCCACCGGGGTAGGCCCTGGGCTTGAAGGATTTCTTTCTGCAAATGACAACTCTCTTGATGGGGTACTTGGGCTAGGGTGTGGAAGGGTGTGGAGGCTAGGGATTGTATGCAGAACCCTACACTTTGAGAGATATTTGTTGAGTTGAGGGCGAGGGTCTGAGAGGTTGCCTCAGCCTGAAGACAGTGTGCAGGCATTGTCCCTGTGAAATGGGGAACTCACCTAAAAGTCCTCCCCAGGAGAAAAAAAAATGTCTTTGACCAAACGGGTAAGTTGCCTGGGCACTGTGGTATCCCCGAGGATAGGTTAGGAACAGGCAGATGTGAGGATGCTGGTGTTACTATGTGGGAGTCTCTCAAGGCTCAGATGAGAGTGGTCCACAGGCACAAATTCAGTTTTGCTCTCTCCATCCTGCTGTCCAAAGCACAACTCTGAGGTCAGCCTTCCCACATCCTCTTCCCTCAATGCTGCTCACCACAGTTCTCCAAACATGCTCCCTGTTTCTACTCTTAAATCCTTTCCTCTCTCCTTCAAAACCCATCCTTTTTATGCCCCAGCCTTGGCCTCCCGTGGTATAATAAATAATTTTAGGTCAATAACTCACAATGCCTGAAAATACCACTTTTGCCATGGTGATCTGAATTTTAAATAAGGGAACCTGAACAGGGCAATGTTGGGAATTAACAAAAAAAGGTGAAAGAGCAATTTTGAATTAGGGAGCTCAATTGGTCCCATCACAATAAGCAAATGACATTCTTATATGTTGAAACTATTTTATCTTCTTCCTTTTCCATCCTACTATATTCTAAAGTCTTTTAGAATTGTGAACATTTCTCATGTAAGCAGGACAGAATTCTCCCTTTGTGACTTTATTCTTCCTCTGTGAAGACTTACCCTTTGCCAGTCTAAACCACTGCCTCTGAATCTGGCCTTCTTTATATTTATGGCCTTTATCACAACATGACGTGTATTATATTGAGTTGTACGCAGGCCAACTTCCCCAGCTAGACTGTGAAGTTCTCTTGGATGGAAGCCATATCTTATCATCTTTGCAATCTCATTTTTCCCCTGTCTTTTTTTCCTCTCAAATATTTATCAAGCATCTGTTATTCTCTTGGAACTGGTTTTGCTTTGCTGGGGATAAATAATACACTGGCTCTTTCCTCAAAGATGTTCCAGACTGGGAGCAGAGCAGACAAATGTGCAGATCATACTATTATCAGAGCATAAGGTGATTCCTACACTAAAGGAATGTTCAAGAATTAGTGATAGATCAGAGGAAGGACTGATTAAATATGCCTGGGGAAAAAGAGAATACATGAACATTGAGTAGCCATTCTATGCCAAGTCTCACAACAACCTGTGAGTTGGTATTATCATCTTTATTTGATTGTGAGACAAAGGATCAGAGACATATATAACTATCTATCCAAGGACAAATCTTTAAGTCATGGAGCCAATATTTTTCTTTAACTCTGTTAGATTATAAAGTCACGTTCCTTCCACTCTAACATTTCACAAAGAAGGTGATGTTCAAGTTAAACCTTAAAAAAACAAGTCGTTGGCGCCTGGATAAAAGGGGAGAATACTGCAGACAGAACATTCAGTGTGAATACATATAGGTGGGAAAATAGCCAAATACATTTGGGAGTCTTAACCCCAGAGTAAGATCTGAAATGATGAAGCACCAGTGTGTGAGGGCCAAGTGATACAGAATGTGGCTGAATCGATGGACAATGAGCTAATTCTTGAACCATCTTTGTTCTAGAATAAAGATAAGATATTATCCTTGATATGTTTGATAAAACATTTTGATTTTACTCTGTGGGTGGCAGAGAGAGTCAGTGGATGATAGAAAGTTAAAGAGAAGCACTAATACAATTATATTTGCATTTAAAATGATAACTCTAATAGAAATGTGAAGGACACCTTAGAAACAAAAGAGCTGAAACCAGAAAAGATTCTTCCTCTACTGATTTGTACCCTGGCCTTCCATGGGGCACCAATCACGTGGTATTCTATGTGAATGTTGCCAGCTAGCACTGTGAAATTGTCCCACTCTGCACCATAGGATTTCTTTCTCCCACATTTGTCATGCCTTTCCATAACTGTACCTGAAATTCTTGTATTGCTGTCTTTCAAATTTACATGTCTGTCTTCTTTTAGTAGATTGGGAGCTGCTTATGAGCAGAGAGTAAGTCTTATCTCTCCATTCCCAATATTTAGGCCAGGATCTAGAATGCAGTCTCCACAAGGACTTTGTGAATGAGTAAATGAAGGAATAAAATTCCACAGCAGTACAGAAGAATTGTAAGATCATGAGTCAGATGTCCTTGAGCTCAAAAACTCAGCCATTTATTACTTCTGTGAACTTCAACAGAGTCTTTCATCTCATTGAAACGGTTTTCTCAACTCTGAAATAGAAATAATAACACCTGTTGGGAATTGTCATAAGTATAAAAAATGTAGGTAACATGTTTGTATAAATTCCTAGCCCTAGTATCACTTAATAAATGGTACAGTTTTTATTAGCTGTCATCAATGGTATCAGTGCTGCCCATTTCCCTGGAAGCCAGCAATTAAATATACTCCAACCAGCTTCCAACTTTCAGTATCTGAATTTCTGTTTCACAAGTTTCTTTCTAGAACTTCAGGAGACATGCCAGAAGTGTTGGAACATTAACCAGTGACTGACAGGGGCCAATGTATGAATCCACAACTCTCTCACCCCTCCAGTGGGAGGTGTATGCCCTGTGTTATCCTTAGGGTCTCTCAAGGGCGAAGCGCCCACAGACAGAGCTGGGTCAGTAGCACACCAGTTAAGAGGTTGCTTTTCTTCTGTTACTTCCTCCCTCTTCTGTGGTTATTCCTTACACCTCCCAGATAAACTATTTGCTTCTGAAATCCTTAAAGCAGGGTCTACTTTTGGGAAGATGGGAGACTTTCTTTAAATATCCAATAAGTATCATAAAAGCAGATGATGTTTCCGCCCTTTGAAGAACTTTGAAGAAACTTTAAAAATATCACTATACCTGTGGCAGAAGTCTGGATGAGATTTTTCTATTTACTATAATTCTGAGAGGAATTATAATCCACAATTTGCTGTCAAATGGGTTCGTCATGGATCCCGTATCTGGTGGCCTGATCACTGGAAGCACCTCTTAGTCCTTGTTCTTAAAAGCCCTGGAACAGGGCCCACTGGGGAAGGATTATGGCATGTTTTCTGTTGTTCTAAGAAGAATTCCATGCTTAGCCTATATCTTCCTTGGGAAGGTGTTATATGGTAAAAATCAACCAGGAGTTTATTCATGGAACCTCTCCTTTGTTTTTCCTCTCCCTCCTCATGCCCTTCTCTCCTTGCGACAATCTTCCAGGTGTGGTTTCAGAACCGAAGAGCCAAATTCCGCAGGAATGAGAGAGCCATGCTGGCCAATAAAAACGCTTCCCTCCTCAAATCCTACTCAGGAGACGTGACTGCTGTGGAGCAGCCCATCGTACCTCGTCCTGCTCCAAGACCCACTGATTATCTCTCCTGGGGGACGGCCTCTCCGTACAGGTGAATGACTGGCCCACCCTCCCTTGCTCCACCTCCACACATTTCTCAACGGTTGGTCACATTCAAAGCTGCTTGTGCAGCTGGCTGACATTTCTTACTGGGTTAACCTCTTCAGAGACATTCAACTTGCTGACATCCCCAGATTTTCACAGGAGATCACTAGTTGCCCCAGGAGCAGGGTCTGGGGCAGAAGAGAGAGGGGCAGGCCAACAGCAGTCTCCTCTTGGACTCAGGAACTATTGCAAAGGTTTCAAAGATGGGGAAGAATCTAAAAGAAAAGATCGTTGAGCTATGCCCAGAGTCCCTCTTGCAATCATTCTGGAACAAAACTTTACTCCATTTCCAAATTGGATAGATTGGTTGGATTATACTCAAGTAGGAATTTAACACATAAGGCTCTAAGTGTAGGACCAAAGGCAAACTTCACAATAAAACTGATGTGGAATGAAAAGAAGTAAGGAAGGGGAAAAAGAAGGAAAGAGACAGAGAGAGAAGGGAAAAAACCCAAGATCATTCAGATCACTCTCATGGCCATAGATCTTTATTAATAGGTGGGAATGTCTTATGATCCAAGATGCTTTCCTATTCTATTGCTAGTTCTTGTTGACTTATTTGAAGTTCTTTGGGGGTTAGTTTGTGTGTGTTTAAAAAAATATATATGAAAGCAGTGTATAGTTTTCACTAAATTTTTATATTTAAAAGGTGAAAAATATTAAGGAAGCAAATAACATAATATTATTTCAATTGCTTGGAAAAGCTTTTAACTTTCATTGATTATGCTGTTCAGAAAAAAACAGACTAATGCCAGTGGGAAGCTGAAACACATGTGCCCAATGCATTGTCATCAGTCTAAAGTGTCTATTTGAAGCTAAGCCTGAGTACTCTTAGAAACCAGATCAAGGCTCTGTATTCTCTGGCCAATTGTAGCAGAGGAAGAAGTATTTACAAACCACATACTATGCTTCTGTTTACCTTTTTATTGTTAAGGTTAATTAAGCATTTAAAGAGAGGTTTTAAACTAAGTGTAAGAGATTGTCTCCTAGTTGATGCTGAGTTCCTGGTGTGAAATGCAACATTAGTGAAATGCAGATAGTTTTGAATTTGATCTAATTAAAGCAAAAACCTTACCTAAATATTCCTTCTGTTTGAAATCAGTTCCTTGAAATAAATGCTATAAATGCATTTGGAAATTTCTTTTAAATTCCCCATTATGAAATTAGCCTGACTTGCTTTGGTCTATGCTTAGGAAATTGGAAATTTCTATTGCTCTTAGACATAGTATGCTTTGCTGATTTCAAAAGATTAGTCCTATTTGTGTGTCCTTTTTAAAATTTAGACTCCTCTCCCAAAGGATTTACTAAAAACATATTTTTCAGACCATTATAAAATCACGTATTCTTTAATTTTTTTAAATAAGTGAAAGCTTGCTTTGGTGGGTTTGTTTGTTTGTTTTTTTTTAATAAATATTGATAGCTCATAGACTCATTAAATGGTTTGGGAAGTGGATTTGGATCAGAGCTTGAAGTCTCTGGTTTGAATTTGGTCACAACCAGGAAGTTTAGCTCCTTTTTATTTATTCCTGGATCCTAGTAAGGAACTTTTTTTTTACCAGCTGTAATAACCGAGATGGCTGTCATTTGGTCCTTACCAGTGAGAGATGGAAGGCAGTATACTGCATAGTGGAGATGAAAACCTTAATATTAGACTAGATTACCTGGACCTCAGCAGAAGTTCAAATCCCATGCCTGCATTATACATACTTTGTATATGGGCATCCAACTGAAATTATTAACATGCAATTTATGTATGCTTTTTGGGGAAGTGTTATATTTTAATTTGAAACATTGTGTAGAAATCTAGATACACTTTAAAAAAACACTCATAATTCCACCATCTTGAGATAACTAGTGTTTATTTTTGCAATTAGAGTTCAGTATTTTATATAGTATAGACATAGTGTAAATACTATTTTGTATTCTGCTCCTTTCACTTAAAATCATATAATCTAGTTACTTCTTATTCAATTCATGGTATACTTTTATATCTTTTCTCTCTTAGACACAGAGTTTGTAAAAAATAATTAAAAATTTCATAGAATCTGACTGTTCATATTCTGTATGAAGGATAAATTAATCTCCAGATTTAAGTAGAAAAATGATGATTTAAACAGTAATTTAATCAACAATTATGTTTTTGACCCAGTGTTGACTGAAGTGTTTATATTTTGATTAATTTCAAAAAGTGGCAAAAAATTATTTTGTTCCTTAAAGATATTTCTGCTGTGTTTAGAGCCAAAATACTCATTATGATCTCACATTTTGAAGCTTGGTAGGAAATATAAGTGTTGTTAAGGAAATATAAAAGAAAACCAAGTGGTGAAAAGCAAAGGAAATGATAGATCTTTTGTGTTATGGAAAATTAACTCGCTATTTCTGTTGGTACTATTATGTCAAATTAGTTATCTCACATGTGACATTCATTAAAAGGCATTTCTCTTGGTTAATCCTTGGATGCTCCTGTGTGGCAGCTTTGTCCTTGATCTGGTTCCAAAGAAGAGACTGAACACTTGCCCGAATTTAAGCCTTCGGCACGCAAAGTTAGAGCCAGGGCTCATGATCCCTGTTTCTGTCTAATGTATTAGGCCACATAACCCTGCTTTCATTCACATTAAATCTTACTCTGTTGAAAACAGTGAAAAGAGTAAGACTGGAAAACTACATAAACATGCCTGTTTGATTCAGGATTTGTCCCAGATGCGGGAAGCATGTCTGCCACTGAGGTCCCTGTTCTGGGGGATGTGGGCATTCCCTGGCAGGAGTGAGACATGCAACCCAGGGACTGTGAGGAGACAATTTTGCCTGAGAGGACAGTTTGCTGACTTCCACAGCTCTCCTCTGGAAAAAGAGAGGAGGAAACCAAGTCTCAAAGCAAATAGCTTATGTATGGTCAGAATTATGACATGGGAAACAACCACCACGTTCCCCTCCCCTCCCGCCCCGGGTGTCTTTTATATCCAGAGTGGTGGTTGTAGAATTAATCATCCAAACTGGGACACTTGTGAGAGTAAAAGGGGGGTGCTATTAATAATGACTCAAGGACAACAGGCATAAACTGGGATTGTCCCTGGCAAACCAAGACATATGGTTCACTCTATTTATAGCATGTCCTGACCTCCTTCATTACCTCGAGGATATTAGAGGTGATGATGTCAGGCAGGCAACTGAGTCGCCCAGAGTAGCAAAGTAGTCCCTAACTGGACACTACTGTTCTGTCAAGTGTCTTCTTCATCTACCCAAAGTCAGGGGAAAGAAGCTTGTCTTCGGCGCGCATACTCACTGCTTTGCTCAGAAATGTTTCCTTAGGCAAATGAAAGCACACAGAAGCACCAGAGTTATTAAGCCTCCTTGCCTTGTACAACGTTGCCTCTTGGGCAGCAGTGATTTACCAAGTCCTGGACTTTTGACTGTCGTTTTGAATGAAGTAGTCAAGAAACCTTTCCTCAGGGGCATCCTTTCCTGTGAAAGATAGATAAAGAATGGTCTGGCTCTGCAGGACTGGTCTGGAGTGCCATTTCCAGAGGGAGGGCTGGGCTTCAAAGGAGACTAATGACAAGTGAAAGAGAGGCCAGTGATCCTTATCCACGATTTCCCTCCCCCAACCTTCTCCTCCTCCTCCCCTCATTTGATCGTGGTCACAGTGCTGCCTGACATCTGCTGAACGCATTTGGCTCATTTCTCCCTTTCACACTTTCAAAAATAGATCCTCCTCCCTCCCAAGATGTTGTTTACACGAGGGGCTTCATAACGGATTCTAACGGAAGACACTGAAAAGGTAACTTGTCAGAGGGGGAAGAGGGTGGCTGCTGGGGGTAGGGTGCAAGTGGGAATTAAGTATGTTCAAGAAAGCGGGGCTTACAGTCCTAGAAGTGAAAGCAGTGAGGTCTTCCAGTGGGAAATACTATTGGAAACCAGAGCTGCAAGACAAATACGTCCATAGAGTTCAGGGTAGTCTGATAGCCTAGAGAAGGGCTCTTCAAGGATTACTGGGCATATGAATCACCTGGGATCATGTTACAGCGCAGACTCAGATTCAGTAAGTCTAGGGCAAGACCTGGGAATTGTACGTCTAATGTGCTCCCATGTGATGCCCAGGCTGTTGACACTTGGTACATGCTTTGAATGGTGAGGCTTTAGAGGATATAGGACAGAGGTCAGAAGAACTATGTTCTTGTCCTGGCTCTTGTTGCTCTTCAGGCCAGTTAGTCATGAATCTCTTATGTACCTTGTATCTAAGATTGAGCTAGTAAGAATTTCCCTATTATATATCACACAGGTGCTTTTGGAACCTACGGTTAAGCAACATGCATTTCAAAAAGAAAAACAAAAATCACTGAGACAGCAGAAAGATGCAAGACTTCATATATAAAACATTTTTAGAGGAAAAGTGTTTACAATGGCAGATGGATCACTGAACATGCAGTGCAAACTGAAGTCTTAGTAATGAAATATAGTCCAAATGTGTCCACTTTAAGAGCTAAATGCACATTTAAAGAGATCAACTTCTGAGTTTTAAAAACAGAAGTTGGAAATGATTACTTAAATTACAAAAGATCACTTCCCAAAGGATTTATCAGGTCTCTCTTTAAAAGTTTAATTTCCCCTAGGAAAGCTCATATTGAATTTTATTAGATGGAAGCACGTATACCTCTGTTGTTCTTGCACTGACAACAGAACAAACCCAAGAGATGGTCTCCAACCTTCACACATCACAAACAAACTCAAAAAACCTCAAGGTCTATAGCCTTTGGAAAAATCTGAGAATCCCTAGGAACTCAGAAACAGACTTCTTGGGCTGACAGATCTGTCTTTGGGGTGAATTTTTCCATAGCTTGGTATCATTTGTCCGGAAGGAGCAAATAGAAAACAAAGACTTGAAAACCAAGTCAGGTATTATCTACCCCCACCCTCAGCTCTCATTAACTGTTTTGTGATTGGTGGGATCTGCATTCTGGGTGGCTAGAAAGCAGAAGGGGGGATGTTTGTAAGTTTCCTGGCTTCCATACCATGCATAGTATTTTCCATACTTCCTTTGGTGTTTGACAGCCATTTTAACATATTATTCCTCAGGACAACCTCTTAAGGTAGGTTGAAATTATCAAAAATGATTTGTCCCCCAGTGAAAACAGAACTCTAACCCTGCTGGTCGTTAGCATTCTGCTGTCTATGGCTGAGCTCCATCTGTTAGGAATCTCCAAATAAGGAGATGGAAAAATTTCAAGCTTACTTAAATGTGTCAGCTCTCTGCAAGTTCCAGAGCAGATTTGCTGAATCAACAGATGGGATACAAGTATTTCTTTTTCATCTCTGAGTCTTCCATGCCTTTTATTCATCAGTGTGATTTCTTGGTCACGGACACAAAGAACTTTACATTCTTTAAAACCAAATAGAAATGTTGCTTTGGCCAAATGTTATAAGCCCAGTCTTAGTCCTTATCTCATGTCTTCATCCTGTTAGAGGAATAGGCAGAAGGTAAGATCAATGGGCAAGATCTCTAGGTGTCAGTAAGCAAGCTCTTTGTGCTATCATGTGCTTAATAAATTGATTAGTTTTAACCTCATCTTTTTAGCCCAGGAAGCTTAATCCTGTTTAGGAAGACCATGGTCTGAATGCCCCCCCCCCCCAACTTTGGTTGAAAACAGCTTGTTAACCTCATTGGTTTCTGTCTTGTGAGAAAACATTTCAGAGTTCTCTTTATTTTCCTAACACAGAGCTTCAAAAGTTTTGATGACATGGAAAACAGGTGGTCATGAACAATCTTTCAGATTGGCAGCCACTCAAGGCTTTCTTGCATCTGTTGTTACTTTTGGAAGTGGGTCCTCTCCATCATATTTCTACGGCCTTTTAAAAGCATGACTAAGCTGCTTTTAGATTAATTTTGTCTTTTCTGACAGTAACATGTCTTGCTTGGCACTGGTATGTCAAAGGACTGGTCCCTACTTGCCTAAATGGAGCTTTTAATTTAGGTTGAGAGACTAGACTCATGTCAAACTACTGGAAGGAAAACAGAGTCATTTTCTTTAGTATATGCACAAAATATAACTGAGGTCTCTGCCTATAGATTTATGTATTCTAAGTATTTATTTAGAGGCTGTGAATTAAGACAGTCTCTGTTTCTTCATCTTACTTCTTATGGCTATGCAATGCTGAAATGTTAGACCTATTTTTGAAACTTCGTAACTTTCCTAAACATTTACCAAGTGAAAATCTTATCATTTATCAAGCATCTAGTATATTGCAAAACTCATTCATTAATAGCAACTGCTTTCTTATTCTGATAACCTTCTAACTTGAGAGACCTAAAGGCATTGTCATGGTCTCAAAACACAGAGGTGTCTTTATAAAAGAACCACAGTCCAATGAGACAAGAGTGCTGTTCTCAACTCTGCAAACACAGCCTGCTGTTTAAGGAGAGATATCTCAGTGAAAATCTAGTCTCCCAGGCAAAATACAACTCTTAATTTCACTAATTTGGGTTTCAGATGGGAAGTGGATCAACATTCATCTCATTTGGAATATTAACATTTGGCCTGCATTAGAAAGAGTCTCAATATTTCCAAGAAATGTGTTACCATACTAAGTCTTCTGACTAGAAAACCAGATGACACTAGTAAATTATGAAGTTTACAGCAAACTGGTTGTATAATAGACAAAATTGAAATCACAAGTACAGTAGACATTTCTAGAAAACAGTAACAGCATCTTTAGCAAACTAATCCCCCACCGTTCTAACTCCCTTTGTCAACTAAGGAAAAGGGACCACACCCTTGATTATCAAAAGAAAGAGACTCTCTATTAAAAGAGACTTTCCTTGTCCAGAATCTCAAAGGATGTCTCAGGAAATTGAGTCAAATACTTAAAAGCACAATATTCCATGTTTGCCATATTTCCAGTTTGCCATCAGAGAACTTTTTCTCTTTTTGCTCCCTCATGAAATTTTAGCTTTCTGTTTTCAGAAGCCATTCAATTTTATTCTCAGTATTTAACAAAAAAAACCAGATAACTCAAAATCCCAACTTATCTCCTATCCATTTAAACTGGTACCAGGTATCATCTTTATGACTTAATTCTCTCACAGAAATCTGGCTTAGAAAGGCTGATTTGTTTTGATTTCATAATCTACAACTTAGGTTCATTTCCCAAATCCAGTTGTCTCTTTTCTAGATACTTAGATTTTTTTTTTTGTTTGAAACCTTAGACTTCAGTATATCCTAGAAATTTGTCAATTATGTGATTTATGGATTTGCATTTCTTTCTGATAGGGTCTTGAATGGAAGCATGTAATTCATATAGAACTTAAATGATAATATTTGTATGGATTTTGAAATTAATTGAAACTTCTTGGTATATTATAACAACAACAACAAAACTTGTCCCATTTTAACAGGTTGTTCTGATTATTTTTTTTCACTCCTAATTAAAACCTACTGAATTGAGACTGTTTTTCAACTGTTGTCTTTTGGTAGATAGTGGTTGAAGTAATAGTCTATTCTGTAAATCTAACCTGCACCAATATTTATTCATTTTTTGGTTACTGTTAAAAGCTATTTGTGGTGGGTTAAGAATATACAATCATCAGCCCCTGCTTTTGTTATGTCCCTTCTGATTTTTCTCATTCTAATAAGATAGCACAATTAATGGGAAGGACTGGTTCCTTAAAATAAAAGTCTGTTGGTAAAATACTTTTAGAAATCATTGCTCACAGCAGGGTGACAGAGATCACTGATACTGAGCAGTAATCAGTTTAATCATACAGTACTTAGGTATTTCTCAGTTACTTACCTATTCACTAAATACTTTCTTGAATGCCAAATATGTGCTAGATATGGTATTAGCTCTGCCTGGAGGCACAGTGGTGAACAACGCAGATGAGGTGTCTCATCTCTGGAACTTATAGTCGAGGAATTAAAATTAGTGCTAAAAGGAAAAGTACAGGGTGCTATAGATGAACCTAACTTTGTCTAGACAGTTAAGATCAGGTACCCAGAAAGAAGTAAGAGTTGGAAAATTTTCATTTTCAAAAATAAAAGAGTGTAGTATTATTTTGGAACCCTTCCGAGTCTTCCTCCTGCAGTAGGACACCCATACAAACACACACACACAGTGTTATAAGGGTCTTAAATTAAGGATGTATATTTCTAGTAAGATATAATTATAATTTTTAACCCATCTTTCCTGGGTTAATTGCTAGTAACTGAACTGAAACAGGCTATTGTGAGTCTTGACTATAATTCTTGACTTGAAGTCTTGACTGCATGGTGTCCCAAATAAGTATTAATGATATAGTTTCTCTATTTGTAGAGTAGCTTTAGTTTTTTTCTCTTTCTGGTCCGACACTTGATCCCCAGAACCACAAACTCCTGTGTGGCTGACAAAATTGCACAGGAATGCAGGCACCAGAAGAGCACATGTCATTCCATTTATAAGTCTATCTCATTCCAGCCCTCAGTTGAAAGGTATTTTGCTAATCTTAGAAACAACTAGAAATATGTTCATTTAATTAAAATGAGTTGTTCCTTTATATCTATTTAGTATCAAGTAATAGATACCTTGCATCCTAGTCTCAGAAATCTTTACTTTTCCTTTTAAAGAAATTCTTGGATGTAATTAACAGAAAGCCACCAATTACAAATTTCTGCCCAGTGGTATTCCTAGGTCTTAATTACAGTCTCTGACTTTGGGTTTTTCTCTGCAATAAGAACAGTCAGAAACTATTACCTCTGAGGTCAGGAATACAGAAACTGGATCATTTGCTAGTTTATATAGGATATTTAAACATTTCCAAAATAATGGATGCGGCATGCAGTGTAAGCTGCTCAAGGACTTTTGAGTAAAAGTTATAAAATCAAGGCCAATAAGGATGGAAACTTCTTGATTCTGCAATACTTGGTACCATCAACCAGTGGATCAAGAAAGCCAGAGAAGTCATACTAGGTTGTTTAACTGGTTCTTCAAGGAAACTATTTAATATGGTATTCAGTGATTATCTAAAATGTGTTAAAATGTGTTAGAATTCAAGTCAGCTACCTAGAGTGAGGAAGGCAAAATGCCCTTTAGTTTCTTTTTCCAAATGCCTCCTTCTCTTCCTCCTTGCTCCCAGAAACTAGTGATGTAGGCAGGACAAGATTAAATACTGGTTTAATTGGTTAGCTGATGAAACACCTGCTATCCAACATAAGCAGCTTTCTTCTCTCACCCCAGAAATAAATCATTACTCACTGTATCCAACACAGAAAATACTTTCCCCCTCACCTTGTTCCACTCTCCACTGCTTTCCCCTGCCCTTCAAAACACTTGCCACTAAGGACCTTCAGCACACTAAGGGCCTTAGACTGATGGAAGCCTGGGGCTGTAAGGGACCTCAGAGGTCACGTAGTCCAACCTGCCTGCCCCCATCCTAAGCGCTGCACCCATCTGGGGCACAGACTTGCAACTTCATGAAACTAATGCCTGTTATTCTCCCTGCTCTCTCCTTTGTCCTTACAGCGCCATGGCTACTTATTCTGCCACATGTGCCAACAATAACCCTGCACAGGGCATCAACATGGCCAACAGCATTGCCAACCTGAGACTGAAGGCCAAGGAATATAGTTTACAGAGGAACCAGGTGCCAACAGTCAACTGAGGAAAAAAATAATTAAACAGGCCTAAGAAGAAGTCAAAAACCATAAGACACCTATCCTGCTCTGTCATTTCTACATCTGCTGGGAAAAAAATAAAAAATAAAAACAAACAAAAAAAACCAGAACTAAACTATTGGGACCATGGCAGAGAAAAGCAGGAGAGGAGCAAAATGAAAATTAGTTAGCAAATGTTCCTCCTCCCTCTGGGATACCACCACCACTTGTTTCTGTGTGTGTTAATTTTGTTTTTCCTTCTACTCATATGCTTTGCTTAATATACTCTGAGCTTCTTCAGTTAAGTTCAGCCCACCCACCCCCATGATTGTATGGGTTTTAAAAGAATCGACAGCAGCCAAAGAAACCATATATGTATATATATATTCAGAATAATTGCCTGTAGTCTCATTGACCTGTTTGAACCTCAGTGCCTTACCCCATCCTTCTTCCCAGTTCTCTGGATAGAAGCTCTAGGAACTTCTGAAAAGCCAAAGTCTTTCTGAAGCATTTGTGCCAGACATAATTCCCTTGCTCACTGTCTCCATCTCTGTTGGTTATGGTAAGGTTACTCCTTCAGCTACTATGGGGAAAAAAAAAAAGCAATTGTATACAACATCTGGTCACTGGCCTATCTAATCCAATGTGATTGGCTATGTCTGGCTAATTCTAAGCTCTAAGCTCTAGATTTAAGCTCTAAGCAATAGAGGATAATATCACCTCACTACTACCCCTCACCCCTATCCAAGCAGTCATCTTAAGTTAAAGATATTTGTTGTTTCTTGAGTAATTTGCTAACATAGGCTTATCTGATAGAAGACATATTTTTCACTTGAGAGAGGAAGAGACATTTCTCTAGGAAAACAAACACTTAAGTTGTGAAAGGCATGGCCTACATCTCTTTGGTGCCTTAAGGGTAGTCAGATGCACACTTATATATATACTGTATATATTTATATATTATATATATATATATATAAAATATTCTTGCAAGCTTGAGTTTGCAGTTTCTCAAACACTACCAAGAGCAAATTTCACACCATCACCAGTGTCCTTATTTCTACCGTGGTAAGACTTTTAATTAGGGATCTTGTTTCCTTTCTTTCTCTACACAAAATTCTCACTATGGCCACAGAGCAATTGATAAAGCAGCTGTCTGAGAACAGTTATAACTTTCACATTAGCATTTTAAATAAATTAGAAACAATTGAGGCTATGAAAATGTCCTAAAGTTTGGCACCTGAACTCTGGTGAAATGCTGATGCATACTAAACTATCATGAGAATTAGACATAGCAGAGGAAAAGCCATTTAGTTATCTGTCCTTTTTCCACTCAACAGGAATACGAAAGATACATGATTCAGTGAAATACTTAAAGGTGTATCTAAATTCTAAGAATTTGAAAGGCAATTGTTGGCTATTTGTATCTTCTAATCTATTGAAATAAAGTTTAGTATCTAGGGCTGGGAGCCAGGACTGACTGATCTTTTGTTTCTTTCTCTTTTGTTTCCACCCATGCTTTTGAAACTTGTCAGGTAGACACGACCAAACCACATTATCATGCTGTGCCTTGGTTTACCTTTTTTTGTAAAATGGGTCTAACAGTACTTACCTACCTCACAGGGGTGTTGTGAGGCTCTAATCATTTGCTCCTTTATCCTTTCCTGTATCCTCTGTATGTCCAGCACTTTGTAGCCATGGGAGGGAAGGGACTATGAAAGTATACTATGTTAACAGAAGGCTATGGTACCCAGAAGCCTTGTTTTCCAGCAAGGAGATGCTACCTTGCTGTAAATACTCATAACCATGCATTTGGAAATGACAAATAGGTTTATATTTGCAGACCTCTCAAAAATCACATCATTTGACCAAAAAATAACTTGAGACACACAGAACAGACATCTCTTTGACTTATATTTTCATCTTGACCAACTTGAATTTATAATAATTTTCTAAATTAGTTGAAAAGATTTAGATTGATTTTGGCCAAATATGCCAACTCTGAGTAACAGGCAAGGATTTGGGACTTAAGCTCCACTTTCAGGACACATTTGTGATTTTCCCTGGCATATCAGATTGAACTAATGGTGGTATTTTCAGTCAAACAGTCATCAATTTGAAAATGTATTTCCAATGTTGATTCTAAACTTTTTTTTTTAATAAGAAGGAAGCCCCTCTTATATGCATATTGCTTTCATCAACTGATTTCCTCTTTTAACATACTATTAAATCATTTCTTACTGAATGGTTTATGTAGGCTGGCTGAACAATACACATTACTGCTTCCTATTCTTCAACTAATTCTCTTGTCCCACTAGCTGCTGAAGATTATCAAGTTTTCATCCTAACAGATTAAAACATTCTTTGTGAAAAGAGTGCAGTCCAAGAAACTAGTGAACCTTTGGAGTTTGGGGAGAAAAACTAAAAAAAGATTTGCGGTGTATAGTGCAGGGAATAGACATCATAGGTGAAAAGATTTTGCTAAAAATGGGGGGAATCTTAGAAGAGGGAGTAAAGAGATAGAGGATCATGTGAAACAAAGTCATTTGAAACTTTCGTCCTGACATTCATTTTGAATGGTGAAGAGAAAAGCCTGAACCCCCATAACCCCAGTGCTGGATGAAATTAGGCAGTGCCTGGGCAAGTGCTTGCTGTCCAGGAATATCATAGAGTAATCAATACTGTCAGTCATAGGAGATTTTATTGCTAGTGAATCAAAACCACAAGCATCGACTATGTAAGGATCTGATGGAGAAATATACACAGGGTACCAGCACTCAGTTTTGTTCATTCATTATTGATTTTTAAAAAATAGAAGTTTCATATGTGATTTGGAAGAACAGCATTCTGGCTCCTAAACCAGGTGTGAGAGGGCCTCAGGGCCACGAAGTTCAAAGGCATATCCCTGTTCTTCATCATCTATACCCAGATAACAGATGAATACATGCCAACTGTCTGTGTTCCCAGTCCCAAACAAGACACTGATTTGTAGAGTACTTGGCAGGTTAAATCAAGCTGGAAGAGGTGACTGGATAAAAAAGGGAATGACATTTAGGGTATAAAGATCTCATAAGAAATGTAATATGTAAATTATATCTTGCTTTATGATGTAAAATATACATTGTTTGCGCTAGAATAGAAGTGATTCCTTTTCAATAAAAAGAAAGAAGGATACGACTATGTCTGCTGAGTCTGATGGTTCTTTTCCCTTTGAAATTTAAAAACAGATCTGCTAAGATCTAAGACTGCATTCAGAAAAAAAGTGAAGGTAAGAGGAATTTCTGAACAAGAGAACTTCTTAGAGTATAATAATATTTTCTAAATATTTTGTTTGTTTCTCACAGACAAAGACAACAGTGGGAGAAAGTGGGGGCATTTTTTAGTAGAATGGGTAAGTGTAGAGTGAACCTTTAAGGAGAGTTTTGCTATTTCTCACCCACCCCTTTAGTATCCACAATAATGTATATCATTAGACAAAACAGATGAAGGACAGCCTTTTCTTTTAGAAAAAAGAAGTAACAAAGTAGAATTTCTTAAGCACCTATTGTTAAAGTATTGAGTGTGTAGTAAGTGGGGGAGGGGGTGGTAGAAAAATGAAATAGGAAAATGAGTTATTTTTCATACAAATTAAAGTAAATCTGATTTAAATGGCAACTATAGCATGAACAAGTTTACGCAATAGAAAGTGAAGCTGCTCAGTCGTATCTGACTCTTTGCGACCCCATGGACTGTAGCCTACCAAGCTTCTCCATCCATAGGATTTTCCAGGCAAGAGTACTGGAGTAGATTGCCATTTCCTTCTCCATGGGATCTTCCCAACCCAGAGATCAAACCCAGGTCTACAGCATTGCAGGCAGACGCTTTACCCTCTGAGCCACCAGGGAAGCCTATAGTTCAAGACAATAAATGTGTCCAAGAAATAAAGCAGATGGGAGTTCTGAAAAGGAAGCAAGAAAACACTGGGCTGGAATGGGAGAGAGTTTCACGGAGGAACTGGGACTTGAGTTTCATCAGCAAGGATCTGGGCAGGAGAAGGGGAGGTGATGGATTTCAGGTGGGGAGTGGTACAGAATAAAGGATAAAGGGAGGGATACAAGAATGAGGAATTTGTGTTTCAGGACCATGGCAAGATGGGCCTAGAAGGGATGAAGAGCTTATTTTGAAGCAGAGTAGAGGAAAACACTGAAATTGAAGTTGATTCTTCATCTTGCAATGTATTATGTGTCAAAGGAGTATGGATTTTTCTTCAGGCCATTGAGATTCATTGAAAGTTAGCAGGATTGTTGTGGTAAAAGGATGAAGATGAACTAGAGCAGAACAGAAACTGGAAACAGAACAGAGAGAAGAGGAACAGAATACAAAGGATTCATAGGAAACATCTTGCAAGGAAAAAAATCAATAGAACTTTATGATGGGAGAAAGAAACTGGAGTCAAAGTAACCCTGATTTGAAACCTGGGCACGAGGGGGATGAATCACTGACAAAAATCAACAAAAACAGGAGCGGGCCAATAACTGGAGAAGATAATCACAGAGAAGAGGGCCAATATATCTTTCTCCTTAACAGGAGAAAGTCTAAGGACTTTCCTTCCAGTTCAGTGGTTAAGGCTCCATGCTTTCACTTGGGGGGGGGCGGGGCACGAGTTTGAACCCTAGTTAGGGGGCTAAGATGCCATATGTGACATGGCATGGCCAAAAATAGAAAAACCTGAAATGTAAGTGTTCAGTAAGTGAAAAAGTAGGGCTTAGAACTGAGGTTAATGGTGGAGACAGAAATTTGGGATTCATCTTTAAGGAAGTGACACCTTATACAGTATGAATAATTCTTCAAGAAGAGAGAGTATCATTGTTACTCGAATAATTATTTCAGTAAGTGCGTTTTGGAAGTAGTTAGCCCAGGGAAAAAGACAGGACTTTGAAAAACACTTCCGATTAGGAAGAGAGCTACTGAAAGCAATTTACAAGGAGCTTTTTAAGAAATAGAGGAGAGCTTAGCTTCTTTGTTATCTCAGATTTAAGAAAAGAGAAGTTTTTAAAATGAAGGGAACCACCTTTCTCTAATAATTAACGATGTTGAACATCTTTTCATGTGCCTCTTGGCCATCCGTGTGTCTTCTTTGGAGAAATGTCTTCTGTCTATTTTTTGACTGGATTGTTTGTTTTGGTCCTGTTAAGCACCATGAGCTGTTTGTAAATTTTGAAGATATCACACAACACCAATCAGAACAGCCATCATCATAAAAAAAAAATCCACAAACAATAAATGCTGGAGAGAGTGTAGAGAGAAGGGAACTCTCCTACACTGTTGGTGGGAATGTAAATTGGAGAACAGTATTGAGGTTCCTTAAAAAAATTAAAAATAGAGCTACCGTATAACTGTAATCCCACACCTGGGCATATATCCAGAGAAAAACATGATCTGAAGGGATACATGCACCCAAATGTTCAAGCAATAATTACAATGGCTAAGACATGGAAGCAACCTAAGTGTCCGTTGACAGAGTAATGGATAAAGAAGATGTGGTACGTATATACAGTGTAATATTAGCCATTAAAAAGAATGACATAACACCATTTGCAGCAACATGGACGGACCTAGAGATTGTCATACTAAGTAAAGTAAGTCAGAGATAGAAGGAGAAATATTGTATGACATCCCTTATATGTGGAACCTAAAAAGCAATGATACAAATGAACTTACTTACAAAGCAGAAAGCAACTCACAGACTTAGAGAACAAATTTATGGTCGGGGGAGGGGGGTGGGAATAGGGGGAAGGAATAGTTAGGGAGTTTGGGATGGACGTGTACACACTGCTATATTTAAAATGGATAACCAGCAGGGACCTACTATACAGCATTTGAAACTCTGCTCAATATTATGTAGCAGCCTGGAGAGGAGGGGAATTTGGGGGAGAATGGACACATACATATGTATGACTGAGTCCCTTCGCTGTTCGCCTGAAACTATCACAACATTATTAATTGGCTATACCCCAACACAAAATAAAAAGTTTTAAAAAATAAATGAAAATAAGGGAATGCTCAATACACTCAAATGCTGTAGGGCACAGCAGCTAATAGGAGATAGAGAAAAGGCCATTGGATTTGTGATTTTCTAGAGTACAGAGTTACTTGAGTGCTGGAAGAAGGTACATTTTGGCAAGTTATGGTAAGAATAAGTGCTTGATAAAAATGGAAGCAGTGGTTATATACCAGAGTCCTCCAAACCCCAGGCCTTGGACTGGTATAGGTCCATGACCTGTTAAGAACAAGATGTCATAGCAGGAGGTGAGCGGCAGGTGAGCAAACAAAGTTTCATCTGTATTTGCAGCTGCTCCCCATCACCTGCATTACTGCCTGAGCTCTGTTTCCTGTCAGATCAGTGATGGCATTAGATTCTCATGGGAGCGGAACTCCACTGTGAACTGTGTATGTGAGGGATCTAGGTTGTATGCTCCTTATGAGACTCTAATGCCTCATAATCTGATTCTGCACTGTAGTAAGCTGTGTAAGTATTTCATGTAATAATAAAGTACACAATGAATGTAATGCACTTGAACCATCCCCACCCTGCCCTGGTCTGGGAAAAAATTGTCTTCCACAAAACTGGTCCCTGATGCCAAAAAGGTTGGGGACCACTGCTATAGATCACTTGCTTGAGATTTTTGGCGTTGAAAGTGTATTAATAAGAATACTTTCAGTGGCAGGTGGCAGAAGCCTATCATGCTAGTTCAAATAACTCAGAGCTCCACTTAAAGGACACTAGGTCTGACTACTGAACCTAGAGAAATACTGCTGGAGCCAGAGTAGCTCTCGGGATCCCAGACACTGGAACGAGGCCCATCCCCTTAGGCCTGGCAAGATCCATACACCCTGCCCTGGGTCTCACCAGCACTCTCTGACTGTGCAAAGAACCTATGGGGCAGATGAATGTGCCCACGTGGATTCTGTATCTCTCATTGCAGACCATCCTTCAGGCACTTGGGGTTTAGAATTTCCTTTCCAAATGATCTGGAATCCACTTTCAGGGTTTCCATTAGCCTCTTTTCCTGGGATGACTATTTGTGGGGGTTGGGGTAGATAGGTGGTCCTTGGATATGCATGCTGCAGTTATTTCCAGGTGGCACAGTGGTGAAGAATCCACCTGCCAATGCAGGAGACACAAGAGATGCAGGTTCAATCCCTGGTTTGGGAAGATCCCCTGGAGGAGGAAATGGGAAGCTGCTCCAGTATTCTTGCCTGGAAAATTTCTTGGACAGAAGAGCCTGGTGGCCTACAGTCCATGGGGTCACAAAAGAGTTGGACACAACTTAGCGACTAAACAATAACAATGCATGTCTACTTCTGGTGCAGGACGGGGCTGGGTGAGAAGAGAAGTGGGTAGGCTACAGGCTGCAGTTTAAGGCCTGGCCAGAGGCTCCCTAAAATGCCATGTTCTGGAAAGGAACTACAAAGCAAACAGTCTGAGAATTCAGAATGAGAACCTGGCTTTTCCTGTCATTATAAATGGGTTCATTAATGGAGGAGGGTGAAATATAATTTCTTTAACAGTTTGTTAGCTTAATTTATAACAGTAGTGTCTGGATGTGAATATGCAGGCCTTTGTCTGTTCTCTAGCCTGAATATGGCTCTAGCATCCCCATGGATGAGCCACCAGGCTTGGCTGCCTTTTGATTTAATTTCTGGAGATTACATTAACTAGAAATCAGTGCCAGAAAGCTTTCTGAGTCATAAATCTTCAATATGAACCCATTCGGGCCCCACATTTTTTTCTTGCTTAGAAATTGGACTCAGACCTCTGTGCATCTGTAGGACCTCAGCTTGAAGGTTTCTTTCAAATCTTCCTTCGGACAGGGTGACAGGAGAATTTTGAACAGAGTTTATCTGTCCCCTGGTGGCTCAGATGGTAGAGTCTGCCTGCAATGCGGAAGACCCGAGTTCAATCTCTGGGTCAGGAAGATCCCCTGGAGAAGGAAATGGCAATCCACTCCAGTAAACTTGCCAGGAAAATCCCATGAAAGGAGGAGCCTGGCAGGCTACAGCTCATAGGGTTGCAAAGAGTTGGACACAACTGAGCAACTTCATTTTCACTTTATCTGTCCACTATCAGTCAGCATACCAATTTATTGTGGTTTACCTGGGTTGTGGTTTACATTATGCTTGTGGGGAGACAGAAGAGC